AATATTCAGGAGTCTTTTTGGCTCCTTAAAGACTTACAAGATTTTATTCTGGCAGAAGTTTTCATGGTTTACAGCCTACTTGTTCAGATGCTGTGAACAAATCCTGACTACGCAGTCCCTTTATGTAGGAAATTATTTTCCCCCCAAACAGCAGGACCAAAGAGCCATGAAATGCAGGAAGTACAGTGTTCAATGTAATTGAGTAAATCTCAGATCTGCTCAAGAAAAATACAGAGACCATTCACTAGGTAGGTTAAGCTGGCTCACACCAGTAATGGTAGGGAATCATAGGTTTTGTTAGGATAGTTGCAGTTACAGTGAGATAAAAATGCTACAGAAGTATTGTGAAACTTTCTAATAAATAGCAATTCAGTTGCTTTAGAATGGAGTTTCCTTTTGAAGTTCTTTCATGAAAGCGGTGAGTTTTGAATCAAAAGAGTATCCTGGTAGATGCAAATACTTTCCTACTGGTTTCTGAATATTATATCTTTTAATATTTATTAATTTATATCCCACCCTCCCTGCTGAAGCAGGCTCAGGGAGGCTTACATATATTTTATAGAGCAGATAAAACAGAGAAGTGCATACGTATATGTACATAGACTACATAAAGTGCTAGTGCAGATCATATAGCAATGGCGAGGCGTTAGTAGCATCAGTATAAAAGTACAGTCGGATGACATGTCAATCTGGGTGCTATTGTCAGAGTACAGGCTGTTGATGGTGGTATTAGTATTGGGCAGGGCTATTTTTGGGCAGGAACACACAGGAACTGAGTTCCGGCTGGCTCCTGAGTTGGCCACACCCAGCAGGAACTCATTAGCATAATAGGCCACACCCAACAGCAGAAACTCATTCAGATTGGCTACATTAGAGGTGTGTGGCCTATCATGCAAAGGAGTTCCTGCTACAAAAAAAAGCCCTGGGTTTTGACAACAAACAAGGTAAACAGAATAAGGAGCAAAAGGTGGGTGTGGCTGGATGACCACACTTCTGGTAACATGGGGGTGCGGCCTAATATGCTAATGAGTTTCTGCTGTTGAGTGTGACCTATTATGCTAATGAGTTCCTGCTAGGCTTTTTCTACAACCCCTCCCCCCCGGTATTGGGTCATAAACAGATGTGATATCACAGTATACAATATACAGAAAGCAAGCAAGCACTGTACAAATAACGCAGACCACAAGTGCTCAAAAAGTCATGCAAAAAAGTAAATTTATATAACAAGAATAACAGAGGACCACATGTATCTGTAACACCAAATTACATCATATAATGTACAGGTCCATGAGTAGTGCAAGTCCATAAATGGTACACAGACAAGTCCGGATTGTGATCTTTGTTTCGATAGCTCTTCTTCAAGAAGTTCATATTACTACAATTACAAGTAAAACCAAACTATTAATATCATATACTACAATCAAACCCATATCCTGAATACTAAGAGGAAAAGATTACCTTCATAATGGGGAACATAATGTACAGAAGACTTTAAAATGGTATATGTAGGAGGAATCTTTAGCACAGCACTCACAGTGTATAAAAGCCTTCAAACCAGTATTACAGGGAAAAACTCTGAAACAAGGAAGAGTAGGAAAATACTCTTATAACATTATTATTTACAGTAACAATATGTCTTCTGGGAGCTCATTCCACCAGTACGGAGCCACCACTGAGAAGCCCAGCCTGGCTTCTCTGGGGCCCAGAAGGGCCAAACAATTTTGGGACCCTGATCGTAGTGCTCTGGGGAGCATACGGGAAAAGGCGGTCCCTCACATATGTAGGCCCCTGACCATAAAGGGCTTTAAAGGTCAAAACCAGCACCTTGAAGCAAATTCAGTATGCTATGTGCAGCCAGTGCAGTGCTTTTGGCACAGGCTGGATGTGCTCCCACATGGGGAGACCCAAAAACAGCCTGGCCGCCACATTCTGCACCAGCTGCAGCTTCTGGATTTGGGACAAGGGCAACGCCATGTAGAGAGTGTTACAATAATCTAATTTCGAGGTGACCATCGCATGGATCCCTGTCGCCAAGCTGTTGTGTTTGAGGAAGGGAACCAACTGCTTGATCAGCCGAAGATGATAGAAGGCTGACTTCGCAGTGGCTGCTGCCTGGGCCTCCATCATTAGGGAGTCATCTGAGAGCACTTCCAAACTCCTAATCTCTGGGGTTGGCACCAACGGCTCCCCATTGAAGGTCAGGAGTGGGATCCCTACCCTCAGACCACCCTGACTCATGCACGGTTCCTTTGTCTTCGTCGGATTCAATTTTAGTTGGCTCAGTCTAAGCCAACCAGCCACAGCTTGCAGCACCAGATCCAGATCTTCCAGACTAGAGTCAGACTGGCCACCCAACATCAGATAGAGCTGGGTGTCGTCCACATATTGCCCCCAGGTAATCGGGGCAAGGGGTGCATATAGATGTTAAAATATATTAAGAACATAAGAGACGCCAATGTTGGATCAAGCCAATGACACATCTAGTCCAACACTCTGTCACACAGTGGCCAAAAATACCAGGTGCCATCAGGAGGTCCACCAGTGGGGCCAAGACATTAGAAGCCCTCCCACTGTTGGCCCCCCCAAGCACCAAGAAGACAGAGCATCACTTGCCCCAGAGCCCCTATCTATACCTTGTGGCTAATAGCCACTGATGGACCTCTGCTCCATATGCCTATCTAATTCCCTTTTGAAGCCGTCCGTGCTTGTAGCCGTCACCACTTCCTGTGGCAGTGAATTTCATGTGTTAATCACTCTTTGTGAACATTGGGGACAGTACTGCTCCTTGGGGCACTCCGCAAATTAGTGGGTGCCTTTGGGACAGCTGTTCCCCTAAAGCCACCCTTTGTCCCCAACCCTGAAGAAATGAGGAAAGCCACTGCAGGGCAGACCCCTGAATCCCAGTGTTGGTGAGGCGACATATCACAACATAATTCTACCCCAGATACTCTGAACAGGGCATTAGGGGCCGTGGCTGGATGGTTACAGCAGAGCCATCTAAGATTAAAACCAATGAAGGCAGAGGTCCTGTACCCCAGTTGTGAGGGCTTGGGACCAGGAATCCGGCTCCCAGTGCTTGGCATGGCATTGTTTATCCCAGCGCCAAGGGTGAGAAGCCTGGGGGTGATCCTGGATGCCTCACTTTCGATGGAGGCCCATGTCACTGCCGTTGCCAGATCAGCCTTTTATCATCTTCAGCTGGTCAGGCAACTGGTTCCCTATCTCACCTCCCAGGACTTAGCTACAGTGATTCATGCAATGGTCACTTCCAGACTGGATTACTGTAACTTGTTCTATGTGGGGCTGCCCTTGAACCTGACCTGGAAACTGCAGCTAGTGCAGAATGCGGCAGTGCACTTGCCGATGGCAAAGTCTGTGCCGGTGTGCATTCAGCCAGTGCTCCGCCAACTGCATTGGCAGCCAATTGGGTACCGAATCTGGTTCAAGGTCATGGCAATGACCTTCAAAGCCTTATGTGGCCTGGGACCAGCATACCTATGGGGCGGTCTCTCCCCGTATGTGCCCAGGAGATCCTTGCACTCTGCTGACCATCACCTACTGGTAGTCCCCGGCCCGAAAAACGTCTGCTTAGCCTCGACCAGGGCCAGGTGGAACACACGCCCATGTGAAGTGAGGGCCCTGCGGGACTTGTTACAGTTCCTCAGGGCCTGTAAAATGGAGCTGTTCTACCAGGTTTTTGGCTGAGATGGTGGATGTCTAAGCCATCTCAGCCTCCCCTGCCCACAGAAATACATCATCGAACTAATCATCCTACAGGAGGCATTATTCTCCTACATGGGTAATCATTGGTGTGGATCCTATCATTCTACTTTGCCTTCCTCCTACTTAAGAGGCAGATGTTTATCTTTTCTTTCACAAGTATCCTGAAAGATCCATTGTGGATTACTAATATTTGTTGAGCAGGGTCTTCCTAGATCTGATACTAGATGATATTCAGTTAAATGTTTCCATTCAGAATTTCTCTTCTTTGCATTGTTGGTCGAAGTATTTCTGTTCCCTTGTTGTAAATCTGCTATTTTGATATTTTCCCTATCCAGTCATTGTAGTATTTTCCTTCAGTTTGCTGTTTCATTTCTAAGCTAAAAATCCTAGTGTTCATAGATATTTTATTATTTATTTATTGTTTATATTTATACAGTCCCCAGAAAGCTATCATTATCCCTTTCAGTACCTTGTCTAGTTTTTGAAACGGGATTAATAAACAGCTGTGTCAGAGATTACATATAAAAATGAACTTTGATATTGGATCTTGACTTGTATCGCAGTTCAGCTTTAGGAGTTCTGAGGGTAAAAACAATGTACAGGATGATGTTTCAGTGAGCTTTCTTGGGACCCGAAGACTTTCATGGCAAGCTGTAACAATATTGCTCTCTGGGAAGAGTATGGATGATTTGTCCCTACTGTACATTGTTTCTGCATTGAATGTTGGACTGGCAGTGCTGTCTCATTCACAGTTCCTTCAGTCAAAGTTCATTGACTTCAACAGGCTTAGACAAGAATAACTTTATATAGGATTGCATAGTTAATTTTCCATTTTGTTAACCTGTTACTGCAGCTGGGGAGGTCACCCTGGAGCTCATTAATACTTTGTATTAATCCTCTTGTTACAGTTCTGATACAACAAATAAAGCTCCATTTATTTACTATACAGAGATTTCAGTCGCAAACAGTGTTGGAACAGTTGAGTGTATTGACTTACTGGTCTCTGTGAATACTGTTAACTGTGTCATTCTAAGCAGACTTACTGGTCTCTGTGAATACTGTTAACTGTGTCATTCTAAGCAGAGTCCATTGAATTCAATGGATTTAGAAGGATCAAATTCCGCTTAGGATAGAGTTGTAAGTAAGTCACTTTTGCAATAATAGTATTTTCAGATGGGATATTGAGCTGGTTCTAAATCTCAGGAGGGCCAGAGGAAAGTTTTTCTTGTAAAGCATTCAGTAACATAACTTCTGACAATGTTGCTTACCCATTACAGCTTGTCCAGATTGGAGCAAAATTTATGTTAGTTTCTGGAATGTTTGCGTCAGGATGTGTAACCATTCTCTTTGGGTAAGTGAATTTCATTTATTTCAGTAACATAACTTCTGACAATGTTGCTTACCCATTACAGCTTGTCCAGATTGGAGCAAAATTTATGTTAGTTTCTGGAATGTTTGCGTCAGGATGTGTAACCATTCTCTTTGGGTAAGTGAATTTCATTTATTTTTTGTACTAGGAATAAGGCCCGTTGTGGAAATAAATACAACGAGATCTAGAAAGAGGCTCTGGGGGAGTGCTCTGGCTTTGGGCAAACAGTGTCAATTTGCTGTGTTGACCTCAGCAGGGTATAATGACAGAGTCTACTGTTTTCTCCAGAGGAACTGATCTCTGCTACCTTGAAGAGCAGTTGTAATTTTGAGTGATCTCTAGCCCTCACCTGGAGATTGGTAACAATTGTTACCCAGGACAAAATGGCTGGTTTGGAGGGTGGAGTCTATGGCATTCTACCTGTCTGAGGTCCCACCCCTCCGCAAACCCCACCCTCTCCAGGCTCCACCCCTCAAATCCCCAGGAATTGTCCAGCCTGGAGTTGGCAACCCCATTTCCTTCCCAGCTAACCTTCAACCTGCCATTATCTGCCCCTTTGACTTCAGCTGACTTCTGCCCTCCCTTCTGCAGAGCAGTTGTAATTCTGAGTGGTCTCCAGCCCTCACCTGGAGATTGGCAACAATGGTTCCCCATGAGGGACTGACTGGTTTGGAGGGTGGTGTCTATGGCATTGTACCTGTCTGAGGTCCCACCCCTCCTCAAACCTCACCCTCTTCAGGCTCCATCCCTCAAACCTCCAGGAATTTCCCATCTGGAGTTGGCAACCCTATCAGGACTGGCCCCAATGTGTTTTCTCCCAAAGGCCAAAGTAGGTGACAGGACCAAGCTTAGCTGCCTACCAACAGGCACTGAGGGGAAAGTAGGGTTGCCAGCTCTAAGGAGGGAAATACCTGGAGGTTTGCTGCTGGGCCAAGATTGGCAACAATAGTTCCCCAGGAGCAAATGGCTGGTTTGGAGGGTGGAGTCTATGGCATTCTACCTTTCTGAGGTCCCACCCCTCCGCAAACCCCACCCTCTCCAGGCTCCACCCCTCAAATCTCCAGGAATTTCCATACCTGAAGCTGGCAACTTTATCTCCTCCCCTCTCAGCAGCCTCTTTCTAGGAAAAAATCTGTTTTTCTCATTAGCGGGGGAGCAAAGCAGCTTGCTTCATTCTCTTCGGCTTTGCGATCTGTACAGCAACGCTGTAAGGTAGGTTAGGCAGAAAGTCTGTGGCTGGTCCGAAATCACCCAGGCAGCTTCCATAGGCAGCCAGGGCTAGTGATGCCATGCCAGTCTGGAGGCATGAAGTCACCCTGAGAGTGCTTGCAGGCCTAGGGTTGCCATTGCCAACAAAGACAAATTGATGCAAAGGAGGATGGAAAAGTCTCCATATCTCTATTTTGCCTTAAATTGGTTTTGATGCCAGCAGAGTGAGAAAATGCCAGAGGCTCTGGGTGGGTGCCCCATGGTAAATGCACCAAACAATTCCTAAAGATTTTCCAAAACACTACTCTGTCGATAAATTGTTTTCTACACTCACAGCGTCCCCTGCCAGAATGCAACAAATCCAGTGTAAGCTGAGTTAGTGTGAGCTACCTCACAGTTTTTTAGCCTCCGGCTCACCGATTTTTGTCTTAGCTCAGGAAGGAGGGCTTCAGAGCAAACTAATTCATGCAGCAGCCAAATCGCTCGCTGTGTGTGATCACAGCCTCTATGATTTAATAGACTTTAAAGTGACAGGAGGAATGGTTGCTTAGTTATGTAGATATAAGAAATAATTTGGATAATGACTGCAGCCTGAATTAGGAAAAAAACTTTCAAAGATTAGGGTGGAATCTGCATAGGGTTGTCAACGCTAGCTTGGGAAATCCTTGGAGATTTTGAGGCGGTGCCTGGGGAGGGGTGGGGTTGGGGGAGGAAACATTGGTGGGGATGTGATGCCCTAGAATCCGCCTTCCAAGGGGCCATATTCACTCCAAGGAATCTGTTATCTGCTGTCTGGGGATCATCTGTGATTCCGGGAGAATTCCAGGCCTTGCCTGGAGGCTGGCAACCCTACCGCTGACCAAAATCTGAAGTCTCCTTCCAACCTGAAGAACCTGCCTCCAAATGAAGTGGCTCCTTTGTTGGAGGAAACCTCCTTGGGCCGGAGGGCCAGTGTGGCTCAGTTGACGAAAGCAAGCTTTGGCTCTGAGGAGCGAATACATTCGGTCCCCTGTATGTGTGCACTGAAGAGCAGCTTTGGCTATCACAGCAAGTGCTCCAGGCAGCTGTGCCATTGAGAATTGCCCCCTCCCCACTTTCACGTTCCAAAGTGACAGACAGAAAAAAAACAAACTGAGGAGGTGAATATCAATTTTTGCTTTCCCCCATTCCTTTTGGATGGCAAAGTCAAATAAGCAGAAGTGCAGGTTGCCCATGTCTCTCTCTGTATTGGTGCTCTTTCCGATGCTACTCTTAGTTACAAAACTTTGCTTAGCCATTTTGCATATTTTTTAGCCTTACTGAAGACAGTGAATCAACCAGGCAGAACTGAACAAATTCAAGCCGTGAAGAGCGCCCAATCATGCTACTTTTGCGTATTGTTCTTTCCTGTGACTGATAAAATACTTCCTTGCCACTGATCTGTTCTGAAATAAAGCAACAGGCTGAATATTCCAGAGGAGTATCGATATTAGTCTAGTTCAGCAGAAACAGAAGTTTGGTGGCACTTTAAAAACTGGCACGTTTGTTGTGCCATATGCTTTTTATGGACTTGTGCTCATTGGAGGTGTGACGTGTGACCATCACTTGGTACAAAACCAGGGGAATGTTATTACTTGCTGGGCCTTCTGGTCTCCCTTGGTAGATGTGTGGTGTTACATTGTGGAGTACAAATAAGACAAGATCCTGTCAAAAGTGTAGAAATTCCAATCTGAGTCGAAACGGAACATACTTGATATGTTTGTGCATTATAAACATAGGATCTAAATCCATTTTGAATCCCCCCCCTCCAGATTGTTGGACAGAGCACCTGATGGGCCCGTATTTATCGGACTATGTTTTTTGGTTCGCGGAATGGATGCAGTTGGGTTTTCTGCAGCAATGACAGCTTCATTTTCTATTCTTGCAAAAGCCTTTCCTAACAACATAGCTACAGTTCTGGTAAGTATACAGCCAATTGCTGCAGGGTTAACATATATTACACTTAGCGTTACAGCCATCAATGTAGTGGTGTCATCAGGTTTTTATTTATTTATTTTGCACGGTGATCATTCATGTGAACTCAGTAAGACATGAAGGGTTGGATCCCATCAAAAATTTCTGTGCCTGGAAGTCCTTCTGTGCACAGAAGGACAGCTTTCCTGCCTCCTTCCTTCCGCTACAGCTCTTAATGGCCCCCCTCAATGTTGTTCATAGAGATGGGGGATCCCAGGACCAGCATAAAGGGGGAGTTGGAGGGCTGCCACAGGAGGAGAGAACTGGCAACTGCCTCTCCTCCCGAACAAGTCTTGTTGATGTGATCCAACCTAAACTGCAGGGCCAGCCAGGCAATGGCCAGCTATAATCTTGCAAATGCCTGTCTTTGATGTACCACTATGTTCACTTGAATCATTAGCTTGCAAACAAACAAACCAACCCCACTGTAGCTTCAGCTCTAGTATTCATCTTGCCATCCTGAATTTATGCATAGTATGTACTTTTAGTTATGGTCATGGTGGCCAAGGGGAGCATACCTTAAGCATCTCTTGCCTTATTCGGAAACTTGGTTTGGGGACAACCTGTACTCAATGCGTTTTGAAGTGGGAATGTAATTTAGGACTCTGATGTATACAGAGCATGTTAATTCCCAGGCTGCCAAAGTTTTGGTTAAGTTGCAGGTGATACATAGCACACTCTGCCGTCCCTCCCAGCTCTTGCCTTCCCTGGTCCTGGGGATGCCAGCCCTCAGCTGGCAATCCCTGTGAGTCTGGGCAGGGGCACAGAGACTTCTTGGAAGTCCTTTATTTTTTCAAAACAGGGAGTGACATGATGATGCTCTAGGAATGGTTTTACAATAGAGATTTTTGAAATCCCTAGAGTGTCATGATAGCATTTCCTGTTCTGAAACATGAAATCATTTCCACGCGCTGTTTTCCTTTCCAGTTTTCCTCTCCCTCACTGCTTTATTGAATGAGGGCGGGGGACTGGAAGGATTGCCACCATTGCCAGGTAAAGTGACAACCCTATCTCTCCAGAGCCTCCAGAATTCTTTTTTTTGGTTGCATATCCGGCCTGATCTGTTGTAGTCAAAACTAAAGTCCTTCCTTTTTTAAAAAGCTGTGGCAGGATTCTTTTCTTCAGCTCCACTCCCTTTCTAGCCATCAACTGGGTTGCTTGTGCTCCTCTTGCCTTCAGGCCATGGGTTTCTCTGTCCAGGAAACAAAAGACTCCTTTGCACTCAAGAAGCTTGCATTTGCATAGGACAGAACTAGAGTAGAAAAGCCCTGTCTAAGATTTAATTTATAATAAGCTTAATAGGGATAAATACTGACATCTGTGTTATGTACCAGTTCTGGCTCCTAGAAAGCGCAAAGTGCTTATTGGCATGAAGCACCTATCGTCATGTGCAGAGAACACTGTTATTACTGAACAACTCCAGTTTATCACTTCCCCTTCGTGCTTGGAATCGTTCAGATTTGCAATGCCTGTGGCATAACTTGAGACTAGGGAAATGTTCTGGTTTTAACCACAGTGTTTCCGGCACTGTCATGTCCAAATTGTGCCTGGAAGTGGTATAGCTAAATGGCAGCATCACTTCCCCCCCCCTCCCGCTGTCACTTGGAATGATGGCAAGCAATGCAGCCCTTTGTAGTGGTGTCAAGCAGCTTTCCCACTTTTGCCAGCCACAGTAACAGCACTCTTCCTGGTTCTCCCTCCACCGTCCTGTTTCTAGAACAGCAGCAGAAAAGTCTTGTGGCTCGTCAATACATGCCAACCAATTTTACTGGACAAGAAGCTCTCTGAAGAAGTGGGCTCTAGCTTGTAAAATCTTGTGTGACAGTAAATCTGCTTTGGTGGGTCCGCCTTGGCAGCCCTGATCAGGGCTGAAAAGTGGTGTATAAATTCTGTAAGCAAGTAAATCGGTCGTTCTTTAAGATGTTCTAACAGAGTGATTCCCTACTGAAGTTTATCCCGTTTCTAATAACTCCTTACAAAATGGCATTTCCAATGCACGGCTCTGTGCTGTTGTTCTTCCTATCACTGGGGGGGGGGGACACTCTTGGAGAAATTTCATTCTTTGCTCCCACCCAGAGTTATATTTGTGGCAGTACTCGGAACAGGAATCTGTTTTCAGTACTAGATCTGAATCTTGAGGACTCAGTTGTCCTTTCCCTCCCCCAAAGAAGTCAACAGCAGGCTTTATTCCATTATCTGTGCCACAAAGACCTCCCAAAATGCAGAATTCACAGGAAGGACAAGGGTGGTGTAGTTGGCAGTTCAGTTCTCCTGACAGCTGGGGAGACAAATCAACTGTACTGACTTGGAAGATTTTTTTTTTTAGAAACGGAACCACCCCTTCCCATTTCTCTTGCCCTTGTGAAGAGCTTCATGTCATCTATCAACTGTCTTTTGTTGCATATGCTAGTCATGACATGTGACGAACCCCAAGGGGTCTCTGAGTGGCTTACACAGTTTCTTTATCCCTATCTATGGCCACATGGTCAGGGGTGGGGGCTGCCTACCGGCACCCAGTGGTCGGATTCGCTTGGTCTTTGGCTTGGCTCAGCTTTGGCTCGGCTCTCTCTTCTATCATCTATCATCTGTCTTTTGTTGCATATGCTAGTCATGATGCGTGCACAGTCAATATATACTGTTCAGCTGTTTGTAGCCCAAGATATTTGCAGAAGAAGAGAAGAATCTTGTACACAGACTGGTAGTACACAGGGAGAAGGGAGTGAGGCTATATACTTATTTGATAGTGAAGAAAGCTGCTTTCTATATTTGTTAATTTTGGGAGAAGGAATTCATGCTAGATTCTTGGCCGTTGGCCACCTGAGAGCACACATACAGGCTAGAGGATCTGATAGAAGTGTGTGTTAACATAAGAACTGCACCACACCCCACTGAAACTATGTCATGTTCCGAGAACTTCAGTGTATTCTTAATGCACTGAAACATTTGAGAGCAAATTCAGCAAAGAGCTTATTCTTGCGGGAAGCACACATGAAAGTAATTGGATAAAGCCTGTATTATTGAGGAGTTGACCTTTCAGCTCTTGTGAGTGTGATGGACTATTAAATCATAAGAAGACTACATACACATCAGGGTGGTGTTTGGGAGGGATGTGAAATGTTTAGTAACCTCAGTACTAGTGCTGTGCCGTGTCCCTTTCTTCCCTTCTACTTTCCTTTAAGAAACCAGTATCTCATTATCTTGAAAAGCCAACTGATTATGATTGCATTAAAAAACCGTTATAAAAGCTTGTGTTCTTATAGTCTTCATTCAAAGGTAAATGTGCTGTTTCCATTCTATATACTGTTACCCAGGTGTGCCCTCTCTCTATGGATACCTGAATCCATGGATTGGGGCCACACTTGCACTAAACAGTTTTTTTCTGCAGACTTGGGTGATTCCTCCCCCCCCAAGTTTGCAAAAAAATCTGAAATTCTCAAAAAAAATACACTGGGGGCTAAATTTCCCCCAAGTAAAATACTGTTCTCTGTGCAAGCACAAAGAATGCTCTCAACTTCCTGTAGTGAAGCAGTCCAGGGGCTGCAGCGGACCCAGAGGGGGGCTGCACTGGAAAGAAAGTGGGGAGGAGGAGATGGGATTTCCCCCTGCACAAGTCTTGTGGACTCCCACTTGCATTACACTAATGGCAGGTGATTTCCCATGGTAAATTATCCCTAGTCATCGTTTTCTTGGTTTTGAGTCAGCCTTGTAATATACCTGTAATGGTGCAGGCCTGCATCCGGGTCCACCTCCTGAAATTCTTCCTGTCTTTTACAGTACACTCAATTATTCCCTCCTGTTCCCACTCCATTCTCCTTTCTGTTCCATCTCTCTTCCCATACTCTCAGAAGAACCAGAGGGAACTCATATGGACGCTTACCATTCACTGTGATAAAAATGGTGGCAATTGTTGATCTCATCATGATGATCTCTGGAATGCAGCCCTCTGTTAAATAGTAGAGGACGATTCTCACCTCTCACAAAGAACAAATCACCCTTAAGGGCTAGGTTGGAAAATGGAGACATGTGGCAAGGCAATTTTTGGTCCTAATAAAAGGTATCTTACCATTGTTCTTCCTCAGTGGAGCTCAGGGCCACATGTATAATCTTTGTTTCCACCTTTTTTATTCCCACAACAGCTCCCTGGTACGCTAGACTGAGAGTTACCTAATGAGCTTCATTGCAGAGTGGGAATCTGAATCCAAGTGTTCCTGGTCCTAGGTTGGACACAATAAGGCTACACCACACTTGCATATCTCTGAGCTTGGGGTATTAATATATTGTGTTTAATTCTTTGTTGTTGTTTTCAGGGCAGTCTTGAAATTTTTACTGGGCTGGGACTAGTGCTGGGTCCCCCTATCGGTGGCTTTTTGTACCAGACATTTGGCTATGAAGTCCCTTTCATTGCACTTGGATGTGTAGTGCTGATTATGGTGCCTCTGAACATATATATCTTACCAGGATATGGTAGGTGGAGTTCCTGTTCCTTTATTGTTTTGGGTGGGATCGGTCAGGAGAAAAAGAAAAGAAAAGAAAGCCTGTATATTTAAAGCAAAATTCCTTCCCTGGCGCCTGTTGTCACTCCGTATAAAAATCTAGTATTAGAAACAGATTGTACCTTAGTTCACAGGCAATGCAAACACATCATTTGGTCACTGAGGGTGTGCCTCCTCTTTCCATTATATACTCCAATTCCTTCCCTGGCTTCCTACATTATGGTGTCCAAGGTGATCATATTATAGTATATGTATGTCCTCTATAGAAACCTACTTCAAACCATGGTTTCCAGTTCTACTTTGGGTTTGGTTGCCAACTTCCAGGTGGGGGCTTAGGGTTCTGTGGGAACTACACTTCTAGACTACAGGTATCAGTTTCCCTGGAGGAATTTTTGGGACAATCCTGGTTTGAGCCAGGACAGCCTGTAGAAGCCTTTTCAATCTGGAGGAAACATAAATATCTATAGGCTGACAAATATTAGTACCAATGATAAATTGGATACGAAAACTCAGTTGGAGAAGAAATATAAAATCTCTCCCGTGGTACCAATACTACCAACTACATAGTGCACTACCTGTGTTCTCATATACGCTTAAAAATCATTCTTTAAATGCTTTTCAAGTCCTATTAAAAGATGGTAATTTCGATGTAAAAGGTGTAATTTATAAATTATTGTGTGAGAATCTATGGTCACCGTCTACTTCGATTCAAGACCAATGGCTAAAAGAGGGCCAGATACAACTAACTGAACAACATTGGGATTCAATCTGGAGCACTCCCTTGCTTAAATCTAGATCGACAGCTATCTGTTGGCAACAATATAAACTAATTACCAGGTGCTATTTAGCACCATATAAGCTGTATAAAAGCAAACTAAGAACTAATTCAGAATGCTGGAAGAAATGTGGTGAAACTGACACGTTTCTCCACTGTTGGTGGGGTTGTAAAGTAGTGAATGCATAATGGGAGAATGTTATCTAAAAAAATTAAAGACTTAACAGGAATTTTAATTCCAGATACTAAAAATATACCGACTTTGGCACAGTGGTGTAATAAAATATGGGCCTTGATGGTCCAGTATAAGATGGTTTCACAATTAATACACGTTGAGAATCCTAATAGGAAAAATATATTCATAGAGACATGGTATACATTTTTGAGTATATGAATCAAACCACCTGCCAGAACTCCTCAATACCTAAAAATACTTAGATTTTGTGGGGTTTTTTTAGTTATAGCTTGTTTGATAGATAAAAATGAAAACTGTCATCTGGGGAGGTAATCAGTCCTGCATTAACGCAGCATGTGTATTGTTTTATATGTTGAAATAAAATATTTTTTTAAAGGAAACTGCAGCTTTGGAGGCCAGACTCTATGGCATCATAAGAACATAAGAGACGCCAATGTTGGATCAGGCCAAAGGCCCATCCAGTCCAACACTCTGTGTTACACAGTGGCCAGAAATAGCAGTGCCAGTGGTATTCATATCCCTGCTGAATGAACTCCCTCCCCAAACACCACTCCCAAATCCCCAGGAATTTCCAAAGCCAGGGCTGACAGCCCTGATTGGTCTCTAGGTATAAACCCATTAGATGCCATGGTGATACTACCACAATGAGCTGCTTCCACCAGGGAGGAGCTGAGAAGGAGGGGGCAGAGAGGGGCAGTCATAGGAGGGCAGTAGGAGCTTGGGCCAAACACTGGCCTGGAGAGCCCTGGGGGGACGGGACCATTTCTCTCTTCCTCTTCCTTTCTCCTACAATTGTAATGGTAAATCGTGGTTTGCTCAAATTCAGGAAGTTGGAGAGGAAATTATAGCCTACTGCCAGGGTGGAGAAAGAGAGGGGGAGTGCTTGAGCTGACATGACCTTTTGGCCAAACCATGCTTTGACGTGCATGTGAACCAGTCAATCTCTACTTCAGTGTGCCATGCTGATGATGGTGGCCACAGGCCTCAGTAAATATGTATGCCCTGAGATTTACACATATATAATGGGGGCATTTTCCTGTACATCCTGCCCACCCCTCAGCCCTCATCTAGGGTTACCAGGTTCCTTTGCCACTCCAGCAGGGGGATTTGGGGGGTGTTCCAGGGGTGGGCAGGCATGTCGCATGACATCCCCAGAGCAATAATGTCACCTGGAAGTGATGTCATTGCATCGGGGACATCGCACAGGGGGCGGTCTGGTATTTGGGTGAAACGTCATAGTTTTTTCACCCTCAAACCGTAGAGTTTGCCCAAATACCAGAGTGTCCCTGCATGACGTCCCCAGTGTGATGATGTCACTTCCGGGTGACCTTATCGCATTGGGGATGGCGTGTGGCTACATCCCTGTTTATGGGCAGGATTTCACCTGCCAGTCAGCTGGTCCATGGTGGGGAGAACCCCCTGAAACGGGGGGATCCCCTGCCCGGACCTGGGGGCTGGGAAGCTTACCCCCATCAGAAGTTCAAAAATCAGTTTGCAACAAGGTAGTACAGGAATGGGAAGCAGATGTAAAGGATAACAAAAAGCCCCATTGCTTGTTGTTGGTGAAGGGTAGGTTGTATGTGTTGGCTTTTTGAGCAACAATTGATGTATGTTAAGACTGGGGAAAGAAAATAATGTTTTCAGGCATGGATGTTGAATGGTGGCATGCCACACTTGGCATGGCAGTTCCCTTGGTCTGCTCCACACCAGTCATCAAACTGGGCTGGGGCTGGGAAGCCAAAGGGCAGGTTGGGAGCCAGCAGGATCCTAAGGAGACTCAAAAGCACAACCGTTGATGGTTCATACTGACAGGGCTATTTTTGGGCAGGAACGCACAGGAATGGGGTTCCGGCTGGCTTCAGAGTTGGCCACGCCCACTACAGCCAAAACCTCCGTGTGCATGGCTAAAGAGGGAAGGGGCGCCCGGGCAAGCCAAGGGAAGGCAGTTTAAACTGCCTTCCCTTCCCTTCAAGGAGGGGGGGCTTGCCTGGGCAAGCCAAGGGAGGGCATGGGGTTGTGGCCTAATATGCTAATGAGCTGTGCTGTCAGGGGTGTGGCCTAATATGCTAATGAGTTTCTGCTGTTGGGTATGGCCTATTATGCTAATGAGTTCCTGCTGGGCTTTTTCTACCAAAAAAGCCCTGCATACTGATATTTCTAAAGTAGTCTCATTTTACTCATGCAATAAATCAATCAGTCAACGATGTTAGATCTGTGTACACCAAGCACACTGTATCTGGCCAAGTACAGCCACTGCCTTCCTCACCAAAAAGGTTGCCTGATGTACCCCATCATGGTACTGTGAAAGAGAGCTATAAATTGACCTGCAGGTAACCTTCCGCAAATATAACCTTTTTGTTACTGTTTTGTTGCAGATTCAACTCCTAGCAAAGATTCTTTCTGGAAGCTTATGACTATACCCAAAATTTTACTCCTCTGTTTTACTATGTTTTCACTAAGTGCATCTTTGGGCTTTCTAGATCCAACAATGTCACTGTTTGTCTTGGAAAAAGTACGTGCTACTGGGAGAAAAGCTTGTGCTAAATATATATATATTGTATTTCATGCTAAAATGTTAGATAAGATTAGATTACTAGATTTTATAAGCAGTGGGGAATCACTGGCAGAAGCAACCCTTGATCTGCTCTAATGGCAGCTTCTTGTTTGGACTTTGTTTGGTCTTAGGGTTGGATCCAAACAAACATTTCCATGAGTATAATCCATTTCCTTTACTTCAACCTATGAAGTGTGATTTCCTCACCTCCCTCCTCCTGTGACAGTGGACAGGGGATACCAAGAATAATATTTTGTGAGGCATTTCGGGCTGCTATGGGAGATGGGGACATCGTACACTGTGGTCACAAGTTCTTGTGCTCAGAGTTCTTGTTATCTTCACAGCAGTTCTGGGAGGTAGGTTAGTCTGAGAAAAAGTGACTGGGCAATCAGTGAGTTTCATGGGTGTGCAAGGATTTAAACCCCCCCAAGCTTAGCCTTACATTCAAGCTAGTAATCCACACTGTACACAGCTTGCACAGTTCCCTCCAAAATGTTCCCATTCTTTTAGCAATGGAGCCAGTATGTGTGTGCCTTACTTTCCCTCTTCCACTGAAACTGACTGGTGTTCTGGGTTGTCTCATCAGAGTAAGAAGAATTATGGAGTGGAGCTAACAAAATTTAGTAAGGAATAATAAAACATGATTCACATGTAATAATACGTTTCTCTTCTTCCTCCTCTCTGTAGTTCCAGTTGCCAGTTGGTTATGTAGGATTAGTTTTTCTGGGTTTAGCTCTCTCCTATTCCTTATCTTCACCATTGCTTGGCTTTCTGAGTGATAAAAAGCCGGTGAGTACAAAGATTCCTGCATCCTTGTCATACTGGTATTTTACACACGTTGTAACTGATGCAGTTCAAATGCTGAATGCGCTAAATTCCCATTCTAAAATCTTAACACGTTTAATCCCATACAGGATCTAATGGCCCATTGCTGTAATACCTTGTGGCAGGACCAAATAATATGAAAGAGATAAAGCACAGATAACAGTCAAGATTTTTGGACCCATTAGAGTTAGTACAGAGCTAATCTATAGTCTGCTCCATAGTTTCCCAGTTTCCCTGGCTGATCTCTACAAGTTTTAAAGGATCTCAAGTAGCAGGGTTAAGAAAGGCATCCTCCTCAACCTTTGAGGAGCCACTGCCAATGTGAGACAATACTGCACTGGGCAAGTGGTATGACTCAGTACATAGCGTTTTCTGATGTTTATATGCAGGTTTTGACTAAAGTCAAACAAACTTGCCTGCTTTTTCTCTATGTTGGGCTGTGGTTTTCATACTGCAAGATGATCAGGCTTCCTCAGTTAAAAAGGTAAAGGTTCCCTTGCTCGAAAGCCAGTCGAGTCCGACTCTAGGGTTGCGGTGCTCATCTCCGTTTCAAAGCTGAAGAGCCAGCGCTGTCCAAAGACGTTTCCGTGGTCATGTGGCCGGCATGACTAAACACCAAGGCACACGGAATGCTGTTACCTTCCCACCGAAGTGGTACCTATTTATCTACTTGCAATTTCTTGCTTTCGAACTGTTAGGTTGGCAGGAGCTAGAACTAGAGACAGGAGCTCACTCCATCATGCGGCAACTTGCGTCTCGAACTGCTGAACTACTGACCATTCACAGCCTGCAGTTCAGCATCTTAACCACTTGAGCCACCGCAGCTCCTTTCCTCAGTTAAAAGCTCTATAATTTTAAAGGTAGCATATTTATCATTACCATTCATTCCCTTCTATGCATAGCTCCAGGGGAATGCTGGGTGTAGTCTAAGAAGCACTTTTAGAATTGGCTAATGCACTGTGTATACTTTGTGTGTGTGTGATAGCAGAGTAAAAGGCAGCAAAAAGAAAGTTTACTAAGAAAATAGGAAGGGTAACATGGGAGGATAAAACAAGAAAATAGTGTAGCTGACTAGCTACACTTTCTAGTTACTGTCTACACTATGATGGATTCTAGCATCTGATCTTAGAACTAAGGGAGGAAGAGGAACCCGCCCCCTATTGTGTACGTGCAAAATACCAGGTTAGATCACCAAACTATTGATTAGCTTTGTTAGATCATGGGGAAATATTAACTTCCCCTCTTCTGTTCATAATATTAACAAATGTTTACTACTATACTACTATTTATTCTTTTGCCAAGCAGGATAGGGATGAGAAAGACTTGAGACCTAGGCTTGAAAATAAGGGTGGTGGTGGTGGAATAAAGGGGGGGGGGAGATATTAGGTGAAGGGAGAGAAAAAATAATGAAAAGTGGAGAAAAGAGGGAGAGAGATTAAGGAAAAGAGAGTGAAAGGTTGTTATATCTTGCTGCAGCACCCTAACTAATACTTTGCAAGATCTGGCTGAGCTGGGTGCAAGGAAAGGAAGAGAGAAAGACTAGACTATTGGAGAAAATGACCTATAGGCTGGCAATTAGATGTGCTTCAGCTGTGCTGGCTTCGTTGATGAGCATGCTAGCATGATCTGTTAGGCAAGTTTGGTTCAGTCCTGGAGAAAGTCAAGTCCAGCAGAGTGTCTTCTGCTATGCTCAAACTTCCATGCAACCCTAATGGCTGCAGTCAGAACTGCATTTAAAAATAAATGGAAAGGCATTCAGCTGGTTTAAGCATAAGGCTGGCTTCAAGGGCGTTCCAGTTGACTTGGGCCCAATGCTCCCTCTAAGCTGTGGAGTCCCGTGAGCAAGAATCCTAGTTTGTGAGCTACTGGCATTAAAGTTGTGAGCAGGTGATTTGCCTACTGCATAAATTAGTTTGCTCTGGAGCCATCCTTTCTGAGCTGAGACAAAAATGTACAAGCCGGAGGCTAAAAAACTGTAAGCTAGCTCACGCTAACTCAGCTTAGACTGCTTGGGCCCCCTGAATTTTGTCCCCCTGTCCCTCTCTGTTGGCATCCCTAATTATACCCTGCTGAGCTCCCTCTCCTCCCCAAACTCTGCCCTCTCCAGGTATTTCCCAGCTAGGGTTGCCAGTCCCCAGATAGGAGTGGGGAATCCTCTGATTTCGTGGGCTTCTGCCTGCTGCTGGCCAGTTGGCTAGCAGAGTGAAGCTCCACCCCCAACAGTGACAACCCCATGTAATGTGCCCAATGTGATGACATCACATAGAAGTGACATCATCACTCTGGGTTTTTGGCAAAACTCTTATGATTTGAGCCCAAATTAATGATAGAGTTTGCCCAAAAAACAGAGCATCACTGCATGCCATGCCCAGTTAGGAGCACGGACTCTAATCTGGGAGAACCAGGTTTGATTCCCCACTCCTCGACATGCAGCTGCTGGTGTGACCTTGGGTCAGCCACAAGTTCTTTCAGAGCTGTTCTCTCAAGTGCAGTTTTCGAGAGAGCTCTCTCAGCCCCACCTCCCTCATAGGGTGTCTCTTGTGGAGAGGGGAAGGGATTGTAAGCCACTCTGAGACTCCTTTGGGTAGTGAAGAGCGGGGTATAAATCCAGTCTCCTCCTCTTTCTGTATGACATCATCACGTCGCTGTGCCCCCCACTCCCAGAAAGTTCCCTCCCACCCCCTGCTGGCACAAGGTAAAGACCTGGCAACCCTATTCCCAACCCAGAGTTGGCAAACCCCCCTCTGTGTGTGTGTGAGAGAGAGAGAGAGAAAGAGAGAGAGAGAGAGCGATAACCACATCCAGAATCTTCTACAGTATGCGTGTTTTCTCTGCAAACAAACAGGTTTGGGAAAGTAGTTGTGGTATAGGTTTAAAATTGCTCCACTAAACTCCATGTAGAATTACAACCATGGGGGGAAAGTAAAATTATGAGGATGAATGCAGGCCTTGTTATGACTCAGGCCTCCACACTCAAGTGCAATCTTAAATGTCACAATTCTTCCTTGGAATGTGGGGTGATATTTTTAAGTACCTCCTTTCTCTTTCCTGGCAGCTCATTTGACAGTTTTATTTGATCTGAACATGATATTTGTTGGGGTTGAGTTCCTCAGCCATCTCTTTATTCCTTGCAGCCTTTAAGGAAGTATCTGTTGATCGTTGGAGGCTTAATCACAGCATTATGCTATTTTCTGCTAGGACCAGCTCCTGTCTTGCACATTGAAAGGTACTGAATTCTACAGTGATCTTTCTGATGTGAAGTTTGCCTGTCCTGCAGCATTTAAATTTACCAAAACATCCATAGCAAAGGCTTCCTGTTTGTGCCAAAATAGATAACTTTTGCCACCTTGCTATTTATGTTTTTCTCTTTAGTACTAGTTGTTGATTAAAGTAAAGGTAAAGGTTCCCTTGCTCGAAAGCCAGTTGAATCCGAGTCTAGTGTTGCGGCGCTCATCTCCGTTTCGAAGCCGAAGAGCCAGTGCTGTCCGAAGATGTTTCCATGGTCATGTGGCTGGCATGACTAAACACCGAGGCGCACGGAACGCTGTTACCTTCCCACTGAAGTGGTACCTATTTATCTACTTGCAATTTCTTGCTTTCGAACTGCTAGCTTGGCAGGAGCTGGAACTCGAGACGGGAGCTCACTCCGTCATGCGGCACCTGGGTCTCGAACTGCTGAACTACTGACCTTCCACAGCCTGCAGTTCAGCGTCTTAACTACTTGAGCCACCGCAGCATGCAATTCTTAAATAAAATAATAATAAAATAAAAATCTAAGACTGCTGATTACTTGCACATTTAGAATTAAGTCCTGTTAAACTTGGTGTGACTTGCTTCTGAATAAACATGCACAGAATGTGCTGTAAGTCAAGATATAGTTTATATATGGGAAGGGGGAAGAAGGGGAAAGAAAGACTACATATATATATGTAGCCAATTTAACATTCTGCATTATTGTGCAGTAGAGATCTACCCCTTGCTGATCTTTTTTATTAAATGAAAGGCTCTCCAGTGGTTCAGAGGGGAAATGGCAGCTGTGGAAGGTTAACATAAGGAACATGTGGGGAAAACTACCGTGCAGGTGCTCAGTTGTTTGTGCAAATGCCTCTGCATTCACAGCAGTAATAAAAGTTATGGAGAGAAATGTTATCAAACATATACTTCAGTAAATTAGTTTGTCTTTAAGGCATCAGAACACTACATTTGTTGTTTTGCTTTAACAGACTAACACAGCCATCCCACTGGAATCTGCAACTGTGGCAGGTAGAAATAGAAACCTTAATACTGAACATAGTCTAAAAGTTGGATTCAGGTGAAGTGTGTGTGCACACGAAAGGTTATACCTTGAATAAAACTTTGTTGGTCTTAAAGGTGCCACTGGACTCAAACTTTGTCGTAGTCTAAAAGTAATGGTGATAAAGCTTGATGAAGTTTAATTAAGACTATAGTGAAATAGTCTTGCTTCACTGTCTCATTTATTTTAAAATATTTATTTTGTAGCAAACTATGGCTCTTCGTTCTAATGCTAGTCATCATTGGTTTTTCGCTTGCCATGAGTGGTATTCCAGCATTCCCTGAGATACTCGGTTGTGCATAGTAAGTAATTTTCTCCTGAAACTTTTTTTGGGGCCTAGATCAGATTGTATTCTTTGTACAGCTTATTCAAAAGCATATTTTTAAAAAATCAAATTAATGCCAAGATTGTTTAAATTATGCAGAACTGATTACTGCAGTCCAGGGCAAATCAGGAAGGTGGCAAATTGCCTGTCTCTGGGGCAAAAGGCTCTATTAATTCCGTGTTAGAACATCAGCACCATGCATTCTAAATACCATCACCATGTCTATGTATGGGACATAGTACAGTTTAAATGGATCATGCTCCACAAACCTGCTGCTTGCAGGGGAAATAACTGAGAGAGTCGGCAGTGCCTTTTCTGCTTTGAACAATGGGGCAACTCAACCAGAGATGATGTCTCCTTGTGGTTATATTACTAGTCACCAAATATTGGAGTTGTTACAAATGAACAATTTGTAACTGTGCAAATAATCTGCTTTTGTCTTTCCTCCTGCAGTGAGAATGGATTTGAAGAGGGGTTAAGCTTGTTAGGACTGATCTCAGGACTCTTCAATGCAGTATGGTCACTTGGGTATGTCGTTTTCAGTAAGCATATCAAGTATGACCAGTGTGGAAGAGGTTCACTCTTTCTCCATACCGAACTTGGAGCTTCTGTCTCCAGCTCTTGCTCAGCAGCTGGAGAAAGGAGTGAGCTGGTTGTCCTGGACTGGCACTGCCTTGAACATGCTTTTGAACTTGTCTTGTGGGACATTCCATGTGATCTTGGAGCATCTGCTAGATGTCAGTCAAGTCAGGAGTAGCTAAATAATACTCACCTCCCATTGTTGTAAAGTGGGCAGAGAACAAACTGAGGTCACTTCTTCATTGGCTTGCATTATTTGGATGCAGGTGACCAGGAAGGTAGGAGGAGCTTCATGTTTTGTCTCCTTGCCCTACTGTGATTCAGCTGGACGCGAGGGTTGTGGAGGTGGAACACAGATAAAGAATTACAAAGCGGGTAGGTGTGGTGCAATGTTCCCTCTAAGCTGTGGAGTCCTGTGAGCAAAAATTCTACTTTGTGAGCTACTAGCATTAAAGCTGTGAGCAAACGATTTGGCTCCTGCATAAATGAGTCTGCTCTGGAGCCCTCCTGCCTGAGCTGAGGCAAAAATGTGTGAGCCGGAGGCTAAAAAACTGTGAGCTGGCTCACACTAACTCAGCTTAGAGGGATCACTGGTGTGGGGAGTTCTTTAATTTCACTTTACCATACTGTGGCGTAAGAACATAAGGAGAGCCCTGCTGGATCAGACCAGTGGTCCATCTAGTCCGCATCCTGTCTCACACCTTGGCCAACCAGTTCCTCTAGACAGCCAACAATTGGGCATAGAGGCCGAGGCCTTCCTGGCACTGGTATTCAGAGGCTGACTGCTTCTGAACCTGAAGGTTCCCTAGTCACCATGGTTCGTAGCCACCGAT